TATATATATATATATATATATATATATATGTATATATCTATATGTGTGTGAGTATGTATATACACTCCATAGAAGGTATGAGTTTTGAATTGATGTGCCCTGACCCGTCAATCCTGTCAGCTGGTCTGACCCTGACATTCACACACATCCAGATGTGCTCCCCGTTCACCAGTACAGCTGGATCATGACCTCCACTCAGACCAACTGGGAGATCATTTCTGTTAATGCTTCATCCGCTCTGTGCGTGACTACAGGTGGATTCCGAGAGCAAATGAAAACAGGATCCCACTGGATGCTGCGTGACTGACGGCGGTAATTACAGCGCCCCCACATGCGGGCTAGAAGTTAGGGAGGAAAAGAAAACAGCAGCGGACAGACAGGGTGAAGGTTCAAAGATCAAATAGTGACGTGCCGGTGGGGCGGGGCAAAGGTCGCGGCGGGAAGCCGGGCTAATGTTCGGTTCCTATCCAGCGACTGAGGAATGTGGCAGAGGTGATGGAGCCGGGTCTTATGAAATCAGCCGAGTAATGAGCTTCGACAGCTGTTCCTCGCAGCCGCCAGATTCCTCCCCGACTAACGAGACAATGAAGATGACCTCCCAGCTCCTCGGGTTTTAAGGAGCACAGTAATGCAGGGGAAGTACTGGAGCCCAACAGGGACACGGTTTACCCACCATACTGACCTCAACATACTGAAATACATGGAAAACCCAACACATGAAAAAACAATCAGAAAACTACAGAGTAACACGAGATGATGGCTGAGAATAGTGAATGACATGTAGAACAGCTGACTGAGATAAATCATCCATATTTTCTTGTTATATATACATATAATCCTCAATAATCCTCAGAAAATGACAGAATTAGGCGAATTAGGGGTTCCTGGTGATGCTATTTAATAATGAAAGGGTAGAAGGTGATTAAAACAAGAGAGCTCGGCCGTTTCTCAATTCTTGAGCGTTCTCCTGTGTTCATGATGCGTCATCAGCCTCAGCCCCAGCACTGTTCCAATTGCAGAGAACGCACCAAATCCCCAGGCGTTGTCCTTGCCCCGCCCTCTTTACCCACCATGCATCAGAGCAGACTTGTACGTTCTTGAGATTTCCCAGCATGCACCGCAGCTGCAGCAGCTTTCAATGAAGCTCTCCATTGAAAGTTAAAAGTTCTCTTTTCTGTTGTTGTTGAATAAAAGTACGTTTTAAGATCATTTGAGGCGAGAATATTATACTTTAAAGTGTCACTATATGGAACATTTACCGATTTAATGCCTAATTTAAAAAAAGATTTCCGAAGTTGAGAGGACCGCAGCAACCAGCGGACCTATGAAGCTAACGGCAGCCAGGGCTAACGTTAGCCCGTCACAGCGGCTCTGATGGCGATTTCTTTGTTTTATTTGGCAAAATTTTCATTTCATTTGTTTTTATCTGACTTTGTCCATCATTATTCCCACACTAAATTGAAAAAGTAATAATTTATTATTATCTAGAGACTATTGATAACAGGAGGTGAAATGCAGCTCTAGATGAGCTGAGCGTGTGGTGATGTCATCATTACGCTTCTGTTCCAATTGACCCATATCTATGATGCGTGTTCGCGTTCTCACCAAGTACAGACTTTCCTGTGTTCTTGCCAAGACCGGACTCATCGTGAATTGAGAAACGGCCCTAGTCTCTAAAACAGACATGGCTACGGGTTGATGCTAACATGTTTGTTAGCTGTCAGAATCCAGTCAGAATTCAGAGATTAAAGTCAGAATTCAGAGATTTCTCATATCATGCTGAAATAAAGTTTAAAAATCAGTTAACTTTTTCATTTTTTTCAGTGGCCCTAATCCTCTTCCATATAGTGAAGTCATCCAGAGGATGTGATGATCCAAAAACAAATTTTTCGCTGCCAAAAGAGGGAAGGATTTAGCAGAAACTGTTGCTAGGCTAAATGTAAAGGAAGCTTTGAACACATTCTTTGCTTTAAACTGGAACGCTTTTAGCGCTTTGGAAAGAATCAAAGTGTTTAGCCGATAAACGTGACACAGTTCAACCTATAGAAGCACCTGATGGACAGGAAATGCTGCTAAGCTAATCAGACCAGGTGCTGTTCAAGCTAAATGCTAAAGTGATGCTGTGCTAGCTTAACACTAGTAGCATGACAATACGGTCTTATTTCGCATTTTGTGGAGTATAGATTCATTTTACGTTGATTTTTTATGTTTGTTGATGCTCAAAATAAAGTCTGTGTTTGGTACAAACGTCTGTGAAAAGTTAATTAAGGGGACGTTAGCATCTTCAGCTAGCTTATCTAGTTGTTTTTAATGTTTTGCGCAGGGAGGGGCGGCGTCAAACATCTTCCAGCTTTAAAACATACCAACACAAATAAGAAATGTTTGATATTTTAATATTTAGTAGCACAATAAGCATATTAAATCCAATATATAACTAAAGGAAAAGATTCTCAATTATTGTAAAAACAACATTTTTTATAATATGCGGTTTTCTTTTAATTATTCCATTGAAATTAAAGCTTAGATTTTTCAAAATGCTTCAATACCAGATTACAATGCTGTGATTATATAAAAATACAGCATTAGGCGTCTAAAGCAGGTTAACATCAGGTATTAGCAGCTATTAGCATCAGGCTATTAGCATATATATATATATATATATATATATGTGTGTGTGTGTGTATTTGTCAAATACGTCAGATGAGACCAATGCTGGTTTTCTTGAGGGAATTTACGAACAGCGACTCCTTTTTTTATTACAGGAAGCTGAGAGGCCAGAAGGAGCTTTTGTTGTTGAGAACAATATTGCCCGCCATAAAGAAGCCGCTTTCAACAGAAACAAGGGAGAGTTTTAATGGGTTTGGAGACAAACACCAAGCATAAATCAGTCTAACTGTTCTGGTGAATGAAAGAGGCAGTCTGCAAACCGGCTCTATGATGTCTATGTCTATGATGCTGCTTAACGGGCAGAAACAAGCCTGGAGCAGAGACCATCACAAAGTTATTTTAGTTTGATTTTAAATTCATTGCGGCAAAAAATGTTTCCATGACTAATTAAATGTATAAACATCAGTGATTTTCTATCATCCTACTAAATGTTTTTTGAATTTTTAAAATATATCTTACATTTTTTAAAATATATTCAAGAATGGAGAATGGTGCAGAATATGCCAATGCCAATTTCCACACAAAATGATTCTGTTAGCCGAAGATTAGCATTAGCATACATGTTAGCATTAACAAATTCCTTCCTGCGCATGCGCGAAGATCCGGATTGCCGAAAAACTACATAGTAACAGTACTGAAAATACTTTATATATATTTGCAACTAGAATGCTAAACTACATCGTATAGAAAATATTGAGGACTTTTCTGGAAGAAATGGATGCGTTTCACATTCTCTCCATTGTATTGCGTGACATCATCATCGGACATGCTCAGAGCAGTCACAGAAACGTTCCAAAGGCTGTTTAAGCGTATCTCTTTTTTTTTCTTCGTTGTTAGAATAGGCAATATTTACACAATTACAAAAATATTCTAAAGGAAACCCCCACCGGAAAAAAGGCAAAAACATAAAAAAGTAAGAAAAAAAAAGTATTGCCTTCCGGAAGTTATTCTGTTCGCGCAAGCACAGGACGGATCGTTTTTTCAGGACGGATCGGGGAGCAACTGTCATTAGTAAATGCTAATTCTAATGACTGCAGCAACATCCGTATCATTTCTGTTAGCACCAATGCTTAAAAGCTAACCAAAGTTGGCCAGATTATGGCGGACCCGGAAGCCAGCTGACAAACAGGACAACTGAAGGTTGGAACAAGTTTTCGCAAGCACGCCACCTACTGTCTGGGAGGAGTAAAGTTTTTAGCTATTTGCAATTGTTTTTAAACACGTTTACTTACAGCGGCATGTTAAAATCTAAATAAAAAAAATGTCTAAATGCAAAAACAATGCTAAACGCTTCGGTCTCTGTTTTAGCATCTGTATACTGTGAAATTGTGGTTTTTACTGACATGTCCACCGGGAGATTGCTGACTTTACATCCTCCTGAGTGATTAATCCATCAAAATTTAACAGATAAAGCTTTGATTTCTACAAATAATAAATTGTCATGTTAAAGCATTTGCTAGCTGTTTTGTTTTCCAGAAAACTGGGATTAAATTTATACCTTTTTTTTATATTGTTAGACACATATTTAAAAAAAAAAAACGAAGAGCAAAATAAACTTAGAAATATTACACTAAATCTCTTTACTTAAATATGTTAATTTATTCCTTTTTATTAGCACCTTAAACAATCTTTATCGTCCCATGTGACTGATTCACCAGCTCCATACACAGTGAAATGTACGGAAGAGGATTAGGGCCAATGGAAAAAAAATAAAATAATAAAATTAGATCCACTGAAAAAATAAAAAAGTTAACATGTTTTTAAATATTATTTCCGTTAATCAGGGAAAAAAGTGAGAATTCTGACTTTAATCTCTGAATTCTGACTTTTTTTTCCCAGAATAATTTATTTTTTTCTCACAATTAGCGAGAAAGAAAGTCAATATTTTTATCTAATCACGAAATTGTAATCTGGCACTGAAGTATTTTGAATTTCTGTCAGAACTCTGAGGTTAAAGTCAGAATTTTAACTTTTTCCCCATATTAAACTGAAGTAAAATTTAAAAATCAATTATCTTTTTTGTATTTTTTCAGTGGCCCAGATCCTCTTCCGTAGAAATGTAACAGTTTATACCATCATTATTTTATTGGGTCACTGTGACGAGAAGACGTCTATTAAACCGGCAGCTGCTGGTTTAATGTCTGTGCAGAACGGTTGTGTTTCTGTTTAGCAATGAAAGGCTAACATAGCAAAACGTGGTAACAGAGTTAAAGATGTTGCTGTACTTACGGGTGCAGGGCATGGATGCCGGGTCTGTTTCGGAACGGAAGAAGCCCTTGTCGCAGACGCAGGAGGTGGAGCCCTCCCGTACTGAGTAGCTGTGGAGGGGACACTTGGAGCAGGCGCCGTCTGTGGCCAGAGCACGGTAGTAGCCGCTCTTGCAGGCTGGAAGAGATCGAGGAGCGGATTAGATGCGATCTATTATAGCAGCAACTTTACAGCAGATGATTTAAAGAGACTCCAGGTATGAGAAAATCCAGGATAGCCCAACCTGCTAGAAAAGTACACAGCAAAAACGATCTAAAATTAGATCGATATTTCTTAAATTAAGTGTATTCACCCTTAATTTGAGTAGGTAAATAAGATGATTTGCCAAAGGAATGAGTACTTTTACTCTTAAAATAAAATAATTAGATAATATGCACTTGAAAGAAGAAAATGGAATTATTTCTTGTTCCATTGGATGACTCCTTTAGATTTACATTTTTCCAGTGTAAGAACCCAGCTAGAAATCCTTTAAGGTATAGTGGAGGATGTTCTTTTTCCAAGTGCATCATCTAAATAAATCTAATTGTCAATCATTTTGGTGATATGTTTACATAAGGTCGTCGTCCTATGCGCTCGTCTGACAAAGTTGAAAAATTGCAAATGAGGAATGGACTCGTGAACGCTCTCGCACGCGTCTAATAGGTGATCCCTCTCTGAAACAGGTACGCAGTTGTGCGTTCTTTTTTTTTTTTAAGCGGAGAGGGCGGGTCTTTTCAAAAATTCACAAAAATCCTCCATTATACCTTTAATTGAAGGCACCTTGCAGTAGTTGCATGTGATATTTTACTTTAAAAGGGTTACAGAAGACACAATTATGACGACTCTATGTAATCAGAGAGGAAGACAGAAGCTTTTTTCTCTGAAGGACAAGAAGAAAACATCCTGATCTTTACTGTTTTCTGTCAATTTTACCAATAAATTATGTTGGCAAAATGTTTCCCATTTTTTTTCTCTGATCCCCCGTCTCTTTACCCCTCCTCATACATCTCTGTTCTATTATCCACGGGCCAGGGGCGGATTTAGGAAACGTGGAGCCCTAGGCAAAGACAATCAGGGGGCCCTCTGAACTGATAACACATCAAACAGCCCCATTCTACAGATGTAGAAATGTTAATAGAATAGACATCCATTATCTGTTCTAGGTTGTGTCCCTCTCTTCTTGTCCCTTTTCTTCTTGTTTTCCTCTCTATGTTTTGTACTCAGCTGACTTTTCATGCTGTCTCTAAAGGAA